TTTATGAGTTGGTTATCATAATACATGTTCTCACTTTCTGCTTATTCTCGTCACTAAGGAGAATGGACTTTTTGATAGTTTCTCAATCTGATTTAGATATTTCTAAATTAGATGGATTAGTTTTTTCCTCGAAACACCTCTCACAGTTTCATAGCCTTAATTTTGATGATTTGTGTATAAACTGCTCAGATTATTTGGAAAGATGAGAGGAGGATTGTGGCAACTTGGGCAATCGATCACAAGGCGTCTGGCTCAGGCTGATAAGAAGACTATTGGTCGCAGATGCTTCGCTTCAGATGCTGATCTCAAAAAGACTGTTCTATACGACTTCCATGTTGTCAATGGGGGCAAGATGGTGCCTTTCGCTGGTTGGAGTATGCCTATCCAGTATAAGGACTCAATTATGGACTCTACAATAAATTGTAGGGAGAACGGTAGCCTCTTTGATGTTGCTCATATGTGTGGCCTAAGCCTCAAGGGGAAAGATGCTATTCCTTTCCTAGAAAAGCTTGTTATTGCTGATGTTGCTGGCCTTGCTCCTGGGACTGGTACTCTCACTGTCTTCACAAATGAGAAGGGAGGTGCAATTGATGATTCGGTGATCACCAAGGTTACAAATGATCACCTCTACCTTGTCGTAAATGCGGGTTGCAGGGACAAGGATCTTGCACACATTGAGGAGCATATGAAATCATTCAAGTCAAAAGGTGGTGATGTTTCATGGCACATCCATGATGAGAGATCACTTTTAGCCCTTCAGGTTAGCTCGCTCTTTCCAACAATTGGTACATGCTAATGTGCTTTATATAAATATGCTTTTGTCATAAATAGGAAGTATAATGTTTATCACATGCTCTGAGATCTGATCAATAGATTGAAAATGGGCACTTTAGTAGAAAAGGATAAGAAAATATGACATCCATCTTCACAGTGGATATAGAATGTCAAATTTCAGGAGAACATTTAAGTGGTTGTACTTTTTTGTTTGCTAATTCCAAGCTCTTAGTAAATTCACTTATCTTAGGAAACTAACAGGAGCTGCATTTCATCGGTACGTTCTTAATTTTATTTTTTGTTGTGATAGTTTTACAGAATTTCTCTTTGCTTCAATTTTCAGGGTCCTCTTGCTGCTCCAGTTCTTCAACATCTGACAAAAGATGATTTGAGCAAGATGTACTTTGGGGAATTCAGGGTTTTGGACATCAATGGGGCATCGTGCTTCCTCACAAGGACAGGGTATGTTTCTTTTCTTGCTTTCCTCTTCAAACTTGAGTGCTGAGTCTGTGCCTGAAAAAAGAAGAAGAAAAAAAAAAACATATTCCTTAAGTTTGATCAACTTCTTAAGAATATTTGAGTTCAAAATCAGAATCTTTTCAGATAAATGAACATATTGTCTGGCAGTTCCTTTATTTAGTGTTAAATAACGGGTTATTTCTTGCTTGTCTGGTTGGTCGAATACCCCTTTGGTATTGCACACTAAATATATAAAGTTGCATCCATAAGGCAACATTTCTTTGTTTCTTGTTACAGTCAAACTTCTCCATAACAACCTCGTTTGTTCCGATATTTCTGGCTACTATAGTGAAGTGTTGTTATAAAAAACATATATTATAACATAATATAAAAATCGGTTCCAAGAAAAATTTGGCTTTTATTGTGAATGACCGTTAAATAGGAATGTTGATATAGAGAGGTTTGACTGTATTCAGTGTGCTATTTTCTCTCGATGCAATTATTCCCTGCTTCCTATTACACTTGGCAGTAGTTGATCCTTGCGGAAGTAATCTTGGCTTGAGACAGCCTCTTATCTGATTTCTGTATTTTGGGAGGTTTTCAGGTATACCGGTGAAGATGGATTTGAAATTTCGGTACCTTCAGAAAATGCTGTTGACCTTGCAAAAGCTATTCTGGAGAAATCAGAAGGGAAGGTTCGGTTAACAGGTCTAGGTGCTCGTGACAGTCTTCGGCTTGAGGCTGGTTTGTGCTTATACGGTAATGATATGGAGCAGCACATAACACCTGTAGAAGCAGGGCTGACATGGGCCATAGGGAAGAGAAGAAGGGCAGAAGGAGGTTTCCTGGGTGCTGAGGTAATACTAAAACAAATTGAAGAAGGTCCTAAAATCAGGCGAGTTGGCTTTTTCTCTTCAGGCCCACCCCCTAGAAGTCACAGTGAGATTCAAGATTCAAATGGACAAAATATTGGGGAAATCACCAGTGGTGGTTTTAGCCCTTGTCTTAAGAAGAACATAGCAATGGGATACGTAAAAACGGGTAACCACAAAGCAGGCACCAATGTCAAGATTGTGATTCGAGGGAAGTCCTATGATGGGGCGGTTACCAAGATGCCTTTTGTACCCACCAAGTACTACAAGCCATAATAACTCTTTGTTGCCTCTTAAACTTGTTGATTCCTCTAATTGCTACCTTGTTCTTAATGTTTTTGGTGAAAGCGAACCCTGAATACTTCAATCTACATGTTTCCTCTTTTGCTTATGAGTTCCTTATATTCCAACATGGACCACTTTGATTCTTGCATGATATGTGTATTTTCCCTTTCACCTTCCTCTGGAAGTGTCTTTTAAAATTAGCACTGGGGCATTGATCTCAGTAGATATAGCATGTACATGAATTATATAGTTAGTTTGGCCTCCATTGAGTTGGTCTCCGTCCATTATGCAACTGTTGGCATTTATATCAAATGAAACTCTCCTGTTCTGATGCTACAGTTCTGAATAGGTAATAACATAATGGGAATTGTAAGGCACATTTGTGGCCTTTGTTGTTGATTGGAAACCCTTTCCTTGCTTGGACAGCAGCCTAATAGTCAGGAATATATCATCTGATGACTAGGTAACAACTCTTTCTTTCCTGACAAATGGAACATTTTACTCTTGTATCATTGTTAAGTATCAGAATTCTGAGTTTTGAATAGCATTTCTTCACCACATAGCGTGACCGATTGCCAAGTACCATCTCAATTGCTCGAGATGATGAAAATCCAGAAAGGGAGCCAAGAGACTGATGATTTTTCCAACAATGGTTGGTAAAACTAGACAGTAAAAACAAATTGCTAAAAGCAGATATAAGAAACACTGTAATACCAACTTCATACCTTCAACAAAGGAGGAAATGTACTATGTTTTCATGTAATCATTAAGCTTTCTTATGCTAAAAATTTTGAAGTATCTTTTCAGAGGTATTAACAAAATGGCTATGCACCATACTTGCAATGCCAATATGATGCGCGACCATGGGAGTGATTGCAGCGTCCATATTAACTATATGCCTATATCATGGGGAAGAATCTTTTGTGTTAAATATACAAAAATTTGAGTAATGAGCTTTATATTCTCCTACATGCAAGGAAGAACGTAAGAAAATGGAGACTATGAAAAATGGAGAGGAGTCAATCTTTATTTGCATATTAAAAAAAATAAAAGTGCTTTGTCTGATTATGTACGATTCACAAAATTCAACTTGGTCTAAAGCATTGCACCAACAACAACAAAAAAAAAACTTGGTCTAAAGCAGGAAAGGAGAGGTTATGAGTTTAAATCTCGTTGCTACCTGACATTCACCAACAAATAATTTTCACGCGTTTAGTTTAAGAAAAAAGAGTCAAATCTACATATGAGAGTGTATTACATAACAAAAAATATGTCTCTTTTTTTAACAAGTTAAAATTTTAATGAGATAGATCACATAATACAATAGTTTTCCCCTAAAAAAATGACACTCAATGACCTTTTTCCGTTTGATTTTTATTGTTATTATTAGAATTCCTATGAGGGAACTTCTAGTTTGCAGATTATTTTAACATTAAGGTATAATGTGCAGTGTGCAGAATCATAAAAAGTTAGAAAAATGCCCGAATCTTTTTTGTTTTTGTTTTTAATTTTATTTTTTATTTTTGCTTTAAATATTCAATATTTTAAAGTTCCCAGGTCCCAAACAGAAGGTTCTCCATCAAATAATAATACATAGTGTAGCCACCCCGGAAATAATAGCCGCGAATGTATACTTCTGTATATATAAATAATTATATTTGACTAGCAGCTATAAATTTTTTTGCCGATCAATCAAATGTGAATAACAATAACAACAAATTCAGTGTGATCTCACAAGTGAGTTATGCTAAGGATAATGTGTACGTAGAACTTACCACTACTTTGTGAAAATAGAGAAACTGTTTTCCACAGGCCATTGGCTCAAAGAATAATATACTAAACGCATAAGAGATACGGGCCTGGCCCAACAATTGAACAAACGAAAACGAAAGAAATTTAAAAATAGCCAGATTTACAACTGGTCATTCAAAAATAGCCTAGTTTCAAAAATAATCGAAATTTAGCCACTTTTCTTGTAAAGATAAATTTGAGCGAAAACACTGTTCAAAACCCGGAAAATACACCAGTATATTATACTGGAGTTCCAGCATAAGTATGCTTGAACTCCAGCATATTATACTGGAGTTCCAGGATAAGTATGCTGGAACTCCAGCATAATATGATGAAGTTCCAACGTAAGTACACTAGAATTCCAGCATAATATACTGGAGTTCCAGCATAATATACTGGATTTCCAGCAAGTATAATTGTCCAGTATAATATACTCGAGTTTGGAGCACCGGTGCTCTAGTCTCCAGTATATTATACTGAAGTCAGCAAAGTATACCGGTCCAGCATAATATGCCGGAGTTCATACACAGGTGCACCGAACTCCAATATATTATGCTGGACCGGTCTCTATTGCAGTAAAATAGTGGCTATTTTCCATTGACTTCGTAAACGCTGGCTATTTTTGAATGATCAGTCCGAAAACTGGCTATACTGTGCTATTTTTACAACAGAAACGCATGAAATATACGGGCCTGGCCCAACAATTGAACGAACAGAAACGCATGAAAGATACGGGCCTGGCCCAACAACTGAACGAACAGAAATCGGTTTGAGAGAAACGGATTAATTACATAAACTCGCGTTTTGAAAACGCAGAAACTCGCCGCGTACATACATCTTCCGCCTACCAAAAAAAATGGGAGAGGCCCTCAACGTAATGGAGTCAGTAAGATCGGTAGTTTTCAAAGAATCCGAAAATCTAGAAGGTTCTGCCACAAAGGTCGAAGGCTACGATTTCAATAAAGGAGTTAACTATGCTGAGCTTTTCAAGTCTATGGCCTCCACTGGTTTTCAAGCTGCTAATCTTGGTGACGCCATTCAAATTGTTAATCAAATGGTCAGTTTTCACTTCTTCCTTCGACTTAGCCTGAAAAAGTTTATTGCTTTTTTGCAAATTATCATCTTTTAGTATCTTTGTTTCAATATTTTTTTTGTTTTTCAGTTAATTTAGATTTGATGCTATTGAATTTGTTTACTGAATAGTCCAAGTTACTTCTTTCTTGATCTTAGGAAAAAATTTAATTGCGTTACCCTAATTTTTGCATTTTTAGTCTTTGGATTTCAATTTTTTTTTTCAATCTTTTATAAATGTTTTAACTACTCTCACCTTTCCATTTTATATGATTGGTTTTGACTGGAAACAGAGTTTAAGATGTTAATTTGAATTATACAATATATTACTCTTAGTGGAACAAAATTGAAAAGTTTTCTTTGCGGAGAAAACATTACATCAATGTTTGAAATTTGAATACCTTAATGATATGAAACGTTTTGGAATGTCATAAGATATAAACAGTGTCATATAAATTTTAACAGAGAAAGTTCAAAAATTTGGAGTTGTAGAACTTTTATGTAGTCAAAATATCATAAGATATTAAAAGATTTTGTCCTAAAACAGAAAGAGTGTCAAATAAATTGGAATTCGGTTAGTATAAATTTTATGATTCATCGTATTTTTATGTATATTGAGAGTATGTAGCTCAGGAAGTGCTTCTTAATTTTTTTAGTTATTACCTTCATCTTTAAATTTCTTGAAGTTCTTGAACTAGTCTTGAAATTGATTCCCAAAAGTTTGAAATTTGTGTATTTGATTTGTGGTGCGATGGGTTTGAAGCTAGATTGGAGGCTTTCACATGAGCAGCCCATAGAAGATTGCAGTGAAGAAGAAAGAGATGTCACATACAGAGAGTCTGTGACGTGCAAAATCTTTTTGGGGTTCACTTCAAACCTTGTCTCTTCTGGTGTTAGAGACACCATCCGCTACCTTGTTCAGCACCGTATGGTGAGTGGCATTTAAGGAACAGTTGCAGTTGTTTCTGTTCTAATAAGTAACTTTTATGTCTGTACTGTGTGATGAAGTTATACCGTCAAGTCTGAACCTTGGGTGCTTTCGTATGAGAGTACTTATATATTCTCTTTATTTTTTATATGTCCACCCCCTTCTAAACACTAAAGTTATACTTACCAAACTAATATTATCACATCCTCTTAATCAACCTCCATACTCTTTCAGAAGATTTATTATGTCAAGCACTGAATCACTGGTAGGCTTGGTTGTATTTATTGAAAATAATGGATTTGATATTATTTACCATGTTCCTCTTTCCTTGCCTCTACTCTATTGGTTGTGAGAACCGGAATATCCTCACCACCCTCTTGCAGCCGCACAAGTAGTAAACGTTAAGTTAGCAAATTTTTCTTTTGAGTTTAGGTTTTAGCTATCGTGCTTAGCACTGGTCGCATATGGAAGAATTTTCTATCAATTATTGCGTCTTGAACCAAGCAAATTGTCTTCCCTCGCTGCAGGTTGATGTTGTGGTTACTACAGCTGGTGGTATTGAGGAGGATCTCATAAAATGCCTTGCACCAACCTACAAGGGGGACTTTTCTTTACCTGGAGCTGTTCTACGCTCAAAAGGATTGAACCGTATTGGTAATTTATTGGTTCCTAATGACAACTACTGCAAATTTGAGAATTGGATCATCCCAATTTTTGACCAAATGTATGAAGAGCAGATTAAAGAGGTACTTACTCCTTGTTCGGTCGAAGTGTTAGATCTTTCCATGACTTGTTTAACTTTTACTGAAACTTTAGTATTTTAACCTTTATTATGAGCTTACTTTCAAAGATAAATGGATTTGTGGCGTGAGTTATTGCGTTTGTGAAATTCTTTTGAATATGATATACTTAGTTATTTCAGGTTGATCCTTACTATTGTTTGTTTTATCAGCCATTGTAGTTTTCGCTTGTGATTATTTAATATCTGACCTTTTTAGCTTCTTGTTGTACCGCAGAAGGTTCTGTGGACACCATCTAAAGTCATTGCGCGCCTGGGTAAAGAAATTAATGATGAAACCTCATACTTGTATTGGGCTTACAAGGTAAATTTCCAATCTACTTCCCTTTCATTACATATTTGATAAAATTTATATTTTTGAAATTAGAACGCCTTATATATATATATATGTATATATATGTAACTAATTTCAGGAAATTATTTTCATAAATGAGAGAGATTAGAAAGAGTAAGATATATTACCTGAGAGAACATGGACTCACGTGCATCCTGGTAGCAAAGTCATTGTTATTCAGATCGGCAAGTGAAATCAAGAAGAAGCTGAAGGATAGAAGGAGAAGAAGTCCTTATTGTTGTATTTTGATAAGGATTGCTTCTCCTTTTATCCCATAAATAGAGGAAGAGAGAAAAAGACAGCATTTATAGTATTTTTGATCTGGCAAATGCTATAGGGAAAGGAGAGCTCTCTTTCCAAAGGTGTATGAATTGAAACATCTTATGAAAATCAGTAGGAAAATTAGTGTTCTAGAAATATCCGTTTTATCTCTAGACTAGATATTCGAAGTGATATTTTATCACAAGCAGAAGACTGCCTCAATAGAATAAATCTTGTTTCTGTGAAGTTACTAAAGTTTGCCCCTAAAACTCTCTTCTATTTTTCAAATCCAGCATATGCTGTGGTTGCAGGTTTGGGTTTAATACCAGAAGACTAGACAATTAGAATAAACTTAGACGTGATCCCACTATTACCCATTTTACTATACTGATTTACACCCCATTTATCAACATGTGATTTTTTTTTTTGATAATCAGAAATTCATACATGGAGATCTATCTAATTTATACTTGGCAATTTTCGAAAGAATATTCATTCTATTGAGAAGAGGGGGTGGGTTGGTGCTTACTTCAGTCCAGAGAATAAAAGGAAAACATGCATTTATTTGAGTATTTAATTTAATGTTACTCTGGTATATATCATTTTCAGAACCGGGTTCCTGTCTTCTGTCCTGGCTTAACTGATGGATCACTGGGTGACATGCTGTACTTCCATTCTTTCAAAAAGGGAGATCCAGATAATCCAGATTTTAATCCTGGTCTAATCATTGACATTGTGGGAGGTATAAGTATCTTAGCAAGTGATTCTTTTCCCTCATCAAGTATTTCTTTGGCTAACGAATTGACAAAATTAAGTTCTATAACCAGATATCAGGGCCATGAATAGTGAGGCTGTCCATGCTGGTTCGAGGAAGACGGGAATGATTATCCTAGGTGGGGGGCTGCCTAAGCATCATGTTTGCAATGCCAATATGATGCGCAATGGTGCAGATTTTGCTGTCTACATTAACACTGCACAAGAGTTTGATGGTAGTGACTCTGGTGCCCGTCCTGATGAAGCTGTATCATGGGGAAAAATACGCGGTGGTGCCAAGACTGTGAAGGTTAACAATCTTACCTCTAATACATTTTGTGCAAGCCTCTGCTTTGGAGGATTTCTTTTTTGATTTGTTGTCATGAGATTAAGTGGAGAGGGAAAATATGTATCTGACAGTTTGTGATGGGTTGTCGACTCCTGATGAAGCATTATAAATTAAGAGGAGGTGAAGTCTAGTTTTTAAAAGTTTTCAGGAAGGGAAACATCAGAAATTTAACTTGAGGAAGTGCAACAGTGGTACTTTGTTCATTTGCTTTGGTTGTTATCTTTGGATTTTGTTGTCAAAATCTACCCATCCTTACAAATCAGTTTTTATTTCGTATGTTTTCCTGGCTGAGATTAGAATTACAGTAGCAGAAATCATATCAGGAATAGAAGTTCTTTGACTGGCCCTTCCGCCCCTGCTATTAAGAACATTGACTATAGACTGTCAAATGTGTGATTCTAATTTCACGTACTGCTTTTGATTTGTTTAATGCAGGTACACTGTGATGCAACTATTGCATTCCCCATATTAGTAGCTGAGACATTTGCAGCTGAGAGAAAGGAATTCTCCCAGATAAGGTGCCAGGTTTGACCAATTGAGAAGCTGTCATTCCTATCACATATGAATTGCTAACTTCAGAAGCCAATTTGTTAGTGTGCGGTTATTCTGCAAACTCACTAGAGACGGTGCATTCAAGTACCCCGAGTTCTTTTGTTTTTGTCAATTTATAACTGTTAGGGGGAGGGGGAGGGGGAGGGGGAGGGAAAGGGTAGGAGAATATTGCAGAGGTGGAATTCGATCCTTTGCACCATGTGAGCTACCTGCCAACCCCAGTACTCTAAGTTACAGAGTCCCGTATGGTTGAAGTAATTTTTTCCTTCCCACCATGTTTGTGAAGGAGCCATATAATAGTTATCTCCCTATTCTCAATTGGAGAGCTTAGATGTGGATATGTTTTTAATCTTGTTGTATCAACGATTATGGGTCGTAGACCTTGGTGAAAGGAACACATACGATATAGATATTCCTTGTAATATGAAATTTAATTAAGTTATTGATTCACAGATTTTTTTTGGTGTTTATTATTTCTTCAGTTTCTTCTTGTCGAAAAGTTATTGATATCCATGTTGGATATGTCTTTGGCCGATAATGATGGATATTTCTATCAAATTGGTGGTTTTATCTTTCTGAAGGTGCTG